AAGTTGAGGGTTCAATCTGTGCTTGTCTAAAGTTGACCGGACAAAAAATCTTGTAACTGAGTCGAGGAAATCTTACGAGCAACAGTCAGTTGTACGATAACCAATTTTGAGACGAAGTTGCGTAAACTGATTTAGAACGATGCTCAGGGTTATCTCCATCCTACCACGAAGGTCGCCGATATTGTCTGGAATTACTGCAGCAATGAACTGAGCGTCGTCATCATACGTGATGAGTTTTCCGTAGTGAATAAAAGAAGGCTGGTTAACAGTGCAAACCAAATCAGGCCTCAAATGCTTCCCTGAACGACGCCGCGCGTGGCCGAAAACGAAATCTTGCAACCCAAAATACGCCTTGAACGGCCCTAAGGCCATCCACGGCCCAGAGCTCGTCAACCTCGCTTCACGCCCGTCGCCAACCAAGCTTCTCCATGCGACAGAAATGCCGAACACAGCCAAACGTTTTCGATGTGTCCGCCGTCGTCAGCGTTGTGATTAGGATTGTGATTGCATGTCACTGGGGCGCCCGCTTCTATGCGTTTGCTTTCTGTATGCGCGCGGAGGCGTTCCAATGCCATAACGGAGCCGCGGCCCGTCGTAAAGATTCACTGCACCTAGAATGCGTCAGATTTGCCGTCAGTCAGCCGTGGTTTCCGTACCGGGCGGCTGCCGCACGGGACTGACTGCCTGCCCCCGGCGGCCGCCCACACTTCATCGAGGCGTGGCTTCTTGTCGGTTTTAAGACTCTGATTCTGAGACTGAGAAGTGTGGCTGTGTGCGCGTGTGTGCTTATGCCGACCTTAGAAATGTTTCTGACACAGTTTTATGTTTTAACCATCTTGTATAAAATTGGCTGGGTGCAGAAAAGCCACGACGTGGAAGCCCCCTTAATAAACGAACTATGAACTAGACCAAGACCCAAGTTAACAGCACTCAGCGTCACCAACCCCGTGGAGGGACCTTTGCGAAAACCATGTTGGTCGGGACATAGCACAGGTTGTGTGGACAGGCATGATGCAGGCTGATCGTCGACTATTCGCCCGCAAAAATTTACCATCACTGACACAATCGAAAAGGGTCATAAGTTATTTGGGTCATTTAGATAACCACTTTTATGCAGACGTATCACGGTAGCTGTTTTCTACGCAGGTGGTACATTTCCTGACACTAGCGAGTTATTAACAACGTACAAAAGACGAGGCCGAATTACAGTAAGACTCAGTCTGATCACATGAGCTGTAACTCCGAAAACACCACCGGTTTTCGATGTTCCCAGCTGCTTTAACCGCACCTGACAGCTCAAGAAGAGTAGCAGGTGTAACGAGAGTAACGAGTAGCAGGTGTAACAGGTAAGACCCGCACACACGCATGGGGGACGATACGACACAGTCTCCCCTCAACGGCGGCAGCACTCAACGCCTCAGCCGTACTAATCCCCCAAGACGTGAAATGGTGGCTCAAGATGACACAGAAGACACAGACGACCTAAGCAAAGAAAACTTAACGTCGGAAGGCAAATAAAAGAGTAATCTGTCTAGCAGAAATTATGACTAACAACTGTTACAACTGGCGGGGGGGGGGGGGGGGGCAAGGATCAAGTACCTCAACATAGTGAAGATGCGCACGATGTCCATCCCAGCATAAGTAAAATATGAGACCCGGTCAGTTTCCGTGATCACCATCCGAAAAGACCTGGACTGGACGTGAGTGGAAGTGGTCGACGTTGTAGAAAACATTTCTGTCACGTAGAAGCAATGCTATGCAAACTTCTTCGTGGTAGCAGTTTTTTCGCGTCGAAATTTATGCATTGGAAGTTCCTGCATTACAAGCATTGTCGCGCGTGTGCTTTTGCGTTAGAAGTTCTGTCGCGTGGAATTTTGCCATTAAAAGTTCTTGAATGATAAGTATTGTTATGTAGACGTGATGTAGTGGAAGTTCTGCGGATCGCAGCATTTGTATTATAAATATTATCGGCACACCTTTTTCAGTCAACGCAAAGTCAAGGTTAGCCCTTCGGAGAACAATGGACCCAACTTGAAATGGTCGATATACATTTTTTCGAAAGTGGTCTCAAAGAAAAAGATATCAGTCTCTCCTGCCTCTCCTAGTCGCCACGCTTTTGTCAGACGGAATATACGAAGTTTTTTACGCAAAAAAACTTTTAACTCTGACAGCATTGTAGGGAGACTGATGGTTGAAAACTTGGAAATTTGAATGTTTCTAACACCTTGAACAGTGAGATATCGCGGGAAATTAATGATATTGATTAGTGCATCAGTCATAGTAGGCACTCCTCTTATCCTGGAATTAAATTAACTGAAGCACGCAGTTTCTGCTGTCATGTACTCCGCTGCAAATTTTAGGCCATGGTCTTAAACTAGCGGAAAAACGTTGTAAATTGTAGCGGCGGAAGCAGGACATGCTGACTACTTGACGTGCCTGAAGTATGACTTTTATGCGGTGCGAGCATGTTTGTGTGGTTATCCGGGGTGACGGTTTGAATGTCAGGCACTCGTTTCCAAGCTGTAAGCAATAATTTTCAACTAACACTTAATCTTTGTCAGCTTTTGTGATGGTGTCAGGGATACTGATTGTTTGGCTTGCATGTGATGCTTGATTTTTAAATCATTATGAGAACAAAAATGTGGGGGTTATCCTGTCAGACTTGTATAACTTTGTGGCTGGGGATCATGAGTCTGGGGCTTGTACGTATGAAAAATCGACAACTAGTTTCCAAGGTCCAATGTTTTCCAATGAGCCAATAAACCAGGAACCAGACCTATGGTATGCTAAAGAACCACTGGGAACTGTGATACTAGCTTTTGTTTTGTCGAAAGAACAAGTGAGGACCAAGCTTTAAATTTTTGTGTTGCCATAAGAACCAGAGAATACCAGGATCCAGGGTTGGCTTTTGATAAAGAAGCTATTAGGAATCAAGATCTAGGATTTTGTGTTGAAAGAAGCGGTGAGAATCAAGATCCAAGGATTCGTTTCGTCGAAGGAACCAGCGGGAATGAGGAACCTGAACGGGGAGCCTGACCTGGTTACCTCCGTCAACTTATCTGCTCCCTTGGTCTGCCTTTGAGATGCCGCTACGCTTTCTACAGCGAAACAAATCATGTTCGTTGGGAAAACGGCATTCTGCAGAGGAAGTTACACGCATGGAAGTAAACCTGTGCTTATACTTCCAGCACAATATGCCCGCTAAGAATTTCACATAAGGTCTGTCCTCTTTGCGAGTAAACGTACGGGCACTGTTTCACTTCTCAGTAAGTGTAGAAGGTTAGCGCAGACCAGATTGAAAGTTTTGGAAAATGAAGATGAATGGCTAAGTGATGCAGGCACCTACTCCGCTGCACTGGCGTTTGTTCAAGGCCCTCCAAGGCGACTTAAATATTTTCTCCGGCTATATCCGAGTCGTGGTAGTCAGAGCTCGTTGAGATTCGAACAGGCACTAACCCGATGCCCCGATCACTGGGTCTTTGTCCGACTGCTGAGTCAACCCACATGAACGAGAGACGCCACCTTCGCAGCACGCACTCACCTCTTATCCTCTCCTGCCCCAGTTACCCCGGTTCGATAGCCCCATGGAGGTTGGGGGGAGAGGGAGGGGGAGGGGAGGCAGCCGTACCGCGGCGCCGTCGTACGTTACGCGTGTTTCGTCGGTGGGACCATGTCTTTCCAAGCGGGCGGCCACCTTTGTTTTTAGGGAATCTGGGGACCAGACTATAACGTTTTTCTCACGCAAATAAGAAAAAGACGAATATCCTAGAAAATTGTTCCGTGCCTTGCTTAAGTCCATACCGTGATCAGTGTTGTTTTTTGTACAATAACGCTTTCACGAATGGCATACAAATATTCTGGATAGTTTACTGATCATTTTGACGTAGGTTTGCACTGCTATCTTTCAAGCAGGAGGAAAAATCGCCACCGAAAGTAGCGTTGGAACCACGCAACTGGAAATTACCGAAGGCTTTAACACCGAAAAAGCGCAACTGAGACATGAATGCGTCACAGACGCCTTCAGCGCTGATCGCGAGTCGTGGCCAAATTTAATCAAAATCGGACGGAGGAGGGTGTGAGGCACTTGTTGATGTACTGTGGAATGCCCAAGTTAAAAGTAAACTTGTTTATCCGTAGCAACTATGTGAGTCGTCAAGCCTATAAAAAGGTGAGATGTCGGACGGAATGGAGAAGGCGCTCTTGGATCAACTTTAAGCGTGTGCGAACAATGTGGCGGTGAGTTGTGCTTTGCAGCGGTGGCAACACGGCCGATCTCCGTCACAAAGCAGGTAGCCGTACGTTGCGTGCGCGTGACCGACTCGCACCCCTCACAGCCACTTCCCATCGCAACTCGGCGAACTCGATTATCGTACACCTAACGGGGCTTTGTCACCTTAAGCTGATCGTTCATGCTTTCCCAGAAGCGTTGCCATTCTTTTAAACCCAGCTCGCCACGGCTGGGTGAAAGTCTCTGGCAGGAACGGGCGTGCAACGCCTACGGGGTGCTGTCTACAACCCGCTCTCTTTGCAGCTGCGCCCACCAGCACGTTACCGGCGATGCCAGCATGGTTTGGCACCAAACAGCGCACCATGGTCTCACTCGCGCGATCCAACGATCTCAGCCGAACTAAAACATCCTGCATGAGCGGGCAAAACGAGCTGAATGACTCAAGATACGCATATTACGGGCACCTGCAGAAGATGGGAACCGTGTAGCTTCCGGCACGGACCGACCAATGCCGCCGTCGGCTGGCGCGCCGCAAAAGCCTCAACCACGGAACAGCGGGAGGGCGAATGAACCCTACGCCACTGCCCCTGATGACGAGGGAGACGGGGAGACGAGGTTTAGCGGCTGAACGCCTGCGAGCCTCCTACATACATATCTAATGGACTCTAGGGCTGTTGGGGCGATAGCGGAGCATTCGTAAACAAACAGCGCGATCTGTCTCACCATTGAGTTGTTTTACGACCCTCCGAAGCGTCGACGGTAAACGCCGCCCGAGTGATCGCTGAATCCTGTATTAATAGCTTCACTCGCACCGGTTCAGAATGGCAGTCAGGCCCGACCCCCGACTGACTCCGCGCCAGTCAGGACGCAACCCCGTCCCGCCGCGGCACCAGGCACGCGTCTTTTCACTCCGCACGGGGTGATAACAATATGTACACGGGGAGGGGTGGTCCATCGCACGCATCGAGCCGCCGTTGTGCATGTGGTCACTGAAAGGTCATCAATAGCGAACTTGGCCGACTCCTTTAAAACTCGCTTGAAGCCAGCTAACTCGCGTTAAATTCCGTAAGCGGCACTCGGCGCAACGACAGCACGGAGGAGCCGCCATTAGCACCCACCGGGGTCCACTGTGGGACCAGTTTGCCAGCGTACAAAACCCGACAATGGCGTCAACTGCTGACGATATTCCCGAGAGAGCCGGTGGTGGCGCGCGCTGCGGTCGCGACGCCGGCCGAGGTCGGTGTGGTGGCCTTGCTGAGTCGAGGCAAGCGCCACGTCCCACGCCGCACACGGGCCGGTCGCAGTCACACGTGCCGGGCCACCGCACGCGGCACACCCATTGCACCTACGCCTGTCTAGCAGCGGGCCCGCGGCCGGCTCGCCGTCCTTGGAGGCGGCGGGGCCAAGCGTCAGGGGCCCGCCTGCGAGCCCGCCTGGGGGAGATACCGCCGCTCGTCTAGAGGCCGAGCAGCAGAACGCGCGGGTCCTCGACGGCCGCCTTGATGTGGCGCAGGAAGGTGACCGCCTCCCTGCCGTCGATCAGTCGGTGGTCGTACGTCAGCGCCACGTACATCATCGGACGGATCTCCACCTGGCGGAGAACCGGGCAAGCCTGGGTTAGCCAACCTATCGCGAGATGGCCCCGGCACACGGGCCGCGCATGATGCCCATCACGAGCGCAACGTTTCTCACAAAGAACTCCGAGGCGAACGCGTCAGCCCAAAGCAGTCAGCCCGGATTGCAGCCTGTGAGTCCCCCCTCCTGCAGCGCCATGTCGGCGCGGTCCGCGGGTTTCGACCCGCCGCGACCGTCAGTCCACCGCACCTTGCCGTCAATCGCGACCGGCCGCTGGAAGATGCCGTGCATGCCGAGGATGGCCGCCTGCGGAGGGTTGATGATGGGCGTGCCGAACATGGAGCCGAACACGCCGCCGTTGCTGATGGTGAACGTGCCGCCGTCCATGTCCTCCACAGCCAGCGAGCCTGCCAGAGCCCGAGCACAACACGGGGTCAAGCGATGATAGCGAGCCGCCAGAGCACGACAGGCGGTCGGGGGACGGACAGCGAGTACTCAGCGCAGGACAGGGGGTCAGGAGATGGACAGGAAGTCGCCAGGCAGGACAGGTGGTCAGGGGACGGACAGCGAGCCGCCTGGTGACAGAGACGAAGTCCTAAACTGGGCAAGCGGAGGGGCATTGTCAGTGGGGGTGGGGCCCCCACCTATATCAGAGGACCCCCAGTCCACTCCACAATATCGAAAAAAATCGCCATAGTTGACCAACTTGACTTGAGTGGCGCAGTTACAACTTTCCCGGCATCAAGCCCCCTTTACGGTAAGCGAAGTCCGTATCTGATGGAAACAAGTTTGGATGCCTATGGGGCGCATCAAACATCTGAAACTTACTGGGCATGACTTATTTACATTGGTCCCCACGGGCCGTAATTTAGCTCCGTATCAGCATATGTTAGCTCGCGCGTCATTCTGGCGTCTTCACATAGGGCATGGACGGTGGGCACTTGTTAACTCCGCTCGGAAAAAAGATACTTTCCATCAAGTAATTGATTGTAGTGATAAATGCGCTTAATAATAAAACAGTCCCTGGGCTCTTATCTGGCGCTTTAAATGTAAACCCTGGCCTGGACCCATTACCGCTTAACATCACACCATTTGGGTGCTATGGAGGAACAAGGCAGCCAGCAGGCCACCAGTCTGACTAGAAATAGCATACACTCAGAGGATATTCAAGACATGGCCCATACAGAGCACGAGGAAAATAATACGCATCAGGGGAGTTAACCTGATCCGGGTGTTAAATATTCGCACGATCAGCTAATTCATGATTGTTTGTAAAACTGTGAACTATTTTTCCTGCTGTGCTCCACTCCAAGTTCGGGATATTTCACTGAGGTACTTCAACACTTACTCCATCCACACCGTCACACGTGGCACTGGCCGAGGTGACTACGGAACGCGCGCGGGCGGCGATGGGGAGGGAAGGGGTGTGTGTGTGTGAACCCCAATGACCACATTCACAGCGCCCAAGAAAACACCGTATCTTTAAATGCTTCTGAGGTGTCATTTGCGCTGTTAAGAGCACTCATATTCATAAAAGGAAATGCAGTACGCCATAGCTTTACAAGCGTGAAACGTCGCTTGAGACATCAGGACAATGTATGGGAGGAACCACAATCATTGGAGGGGTGGACCGTTCTACAGCATTCCCGACCAACAATAAAAGATGCAGCTCCACCGGACGCGAAGCCGGCGCGAACTGACCGTCCTTGGCCTTGGCTCCGAGCGCCTCGATGCCTTTCTCGATGTCCAGGTAGCTCATGCCTTCCACGCTGCGGAGTACAGGCACCACCAGGCCCTGGACATCACGCAGCGTCAGTGGAACAATCACGACACCTTGTGCCGGTGAGCTTCATACAAAGAATACATACAGACCGTGCAATGGCAATGCAACGTCCAGCCGATTCTCATTTGCACAAACGTGGCACCACACCAGAGCAACCATCGATGCCTTTACCACCTTCCAGCTCGAAGGGTTTACTGGACCTCGGCCTGTAACGGGGCTGCGAAAACAATCGTTGGGGCATACATGATACGCCAGGACCGCAGCCAGCAGACCAGTTGAGCAGGTCATTGCCCACTCAGTCGAGGTGGATGCCCATGTAAGTCACTAAATTTCCCATTGCCTATTGCATTACCCCTCCAGTGAAACGACGGGACAAAACGAATGGCGGGGTCATGACATTTCGAGGAACTCCACGCGTCGCACCATTTTACACCCTTTGCCCTTTTTCCCGCTCCGCTGTTAGGCCCTACACACCGCTCCACTGTTAGGCCCTACACACCGCTCCACTGTTAGGCCCTACACACCGCTCCACTGTTAGGCCCTACACACCGTTAGCCGCCTTGCACCGCTCCACTGTAAGGCCCTATGCGCTCCGCTGTCAGGCGCTACGCACCGCTCCACTGTTAGGCCCTATGCGCTCCGCTGTCAGGCGCTACGCACCGCTCCGCTGTTAGGTCCAATGCACCGCTCCCATCAGTACATCAATGCATGAGCGACGTCACAGAAACTAACCCTACAACGACCTGACGCAAAGCGACGGCTATAGCGGGGCAAAATAGTCTGGAAGTCTCGGTGTCGCGATAACAGGCCACTTTGTTCTGATACCGACTCGCCACACGCTCTCGATCGTATTTAAAAGCTCCAGACATCTCTTTAAGCGCTCATAACTGGACTATCCAGGCTTTTTAGGCTCCAATGACTCTCTCTCAGACTCAGTTCGGCTACGTGGTGTTCGTTTGTCCCTTGGCTCGCCTGTACCTTGTAGAGACCACGCTTATCTTGTTACCGACCGGTAAGGTTCAGATTCCTCAGTAATCTCGCAAAATATCTCGTGGGATTATCTGTGATCTAGACCGAGAGCCACGCACTATGAAACCAATGTACCGATAATGCTCCGTCTGAATCGTCATCGGACACCCCGAGCTATTTCCGAGACCCCCGCATGTCAAACACTGTAAAGCTGTTCCAAAGCTCTGGCCGTGCAATAAGAAACGTCGTTTCAAAGAGTAACGGGAAAAAGGAACCTAAATATCCCCTTTTGCTTTTCTGGGAATAAGGTGCATGCACATGCAATAAGGCAACATGCACTTTACGGAAAATGGGTTGATGTGATCGCTCTGAAATAATGACACGATGTTGACTTATTGCACAGCATCATCTATCTAAACGCATGCAAAATCATACCGCTGAGCAAAACTAGACATGGAGCAACTGGTGGTAGCATTTGTCCCCGTACCGCATAACCTTCACGTGAGTCACCTAGGCCCAGAATCTTGCTAAGTCCGTACGACCGTTTGCAGTGGATGCCGCCAGGGACCGGTGTAGGGAGCGCCGGCCAGACAGCCGCCGACCGGCCCGGCTCCCACAGTCCGCTCACCTTGGGCGTGGCCACGGCCACCGAGATGTCCACGTAGTCGCGGTACACGATCTCGTTGCCGTCGATGGCGGCGTTCACCGTCGGCTGGTAGGTCAGCGCGTACGCCGACGCCTTCACGAAGGCGGACATGAAGCCGATCTTGATGCCGTGCTTCTTCACAAATGCCTCCTGGTGCTGCTTCCGCAGCTGCATGATGTTGCTGCAGATTTAGGACAGCATATCATCGACGTAAAAGAGGCATTGAGAGCTAATTTTGATTTCATGGAGACCTGTATCGATTAAATACTCCACAATACCCCACTCACCTTGACCATAGAAACCAGGGCTACTTATCACCATGCAGGATTATAATTCTAATTTCAGAATGACAGGTTGGTGGAGCGAAATACAGATTTACCGAAACCTTTCTTTAAGTCCAATGTGTGCTTTCATCGTAAACAATAGCAGCATACGTTGGCAACAAGTCTCAAGTTACCCAAAAAATCTGTCACACTTGGGATGAGCCCAACATGCAAGACGTGAACATAAACCATCCACAGGCCGCTTCCTGAACCATGAACGCTCCAGCTTCCCGGAACCTGACCGCTTCAGGCTAAGCCACCCATGGCCGCTTCCTCAGCCGCGCACCTCATGTCGATTTCATTGAAGGTGGTGAGCATGGCGTTGGTGTTCTGAGCGTCCTTGAGTCGCTGCGCTATTCTCTGGCGCATTCTGCTCATCTTGACGCGCTGCTCGGTTCGCGTGCCTGCGACGTAAGCGCGCAGCCATCAGTTACACGTGACCTTGAAACGTCACGTGCGCTGGCGTTGGCAGGAAGACGCACGATAACGTCGGCTGTTCGAACCGACGATGCACAGGCGTGGCAGCAGGGGTCGCCTCAGAAATGTGGTCCCAGCGGGGGAGACGCCACGGGCGGGCGCTGACCAGCAACCATGTAATCATTACGGTAGGAAAGAAGGGGGGTGGGGCTGGGGAACAATGTCCCATTCAATTTTCAGCGTCATTCTATCCTCACAATTTTGCACCTAGAACGCAAGAATTTATGCTTTCCCAATTCGAATGTTATTCAAAGGTAAAAAGGTAAGGTAAGGTCAGTAAAGGCAAAGGTAAGATTGTTCCCTCCAGCAATTTGACCCATGCAACTCTAATTTGCTTCCCTCCCCCACCCCCCACCCAGTCTCAAACCTAGCCATATATTTTGCTGACCGGTAATCTCCATGGTGGGGTCACGACAGGTGGGCACTGACCGGTAATCTCGGAGGGTCACCACAGGTGGGTACTGACCGGTGATCTCGGCGGGGGGGGGGGGGGGTCACCACAGGCGGGTACTGACCGGTGATCTCGGCGGTGGGGTCACCACAGGCGGGTACTGACCGGTGATCTCGGCGGGGGGTCACCACAGGCGGGTACTGACCGGTGATCTCGGCGGGGGGGGGGGTCACCACAGGTGGGTACTGACCGGTGATCTCGGCGGGGGGTCACCACAGGCGGGTACTGACCGGTGATCTCGGCGGGGGGTCACCACAGGCGGGTACTGACCGGTGATCTCGGCGGTGGGGTCACCACAGGTGGGTACTGGCCGGTGATCTCGGCGGTGGGGTCACCACAGGTGGGTACTGGCCGGTGATCTCAGCGGGAGGGTCACCACAGGTGGGTACTGACCGGTGATCTCAGCGGGAGGGTCACCACAGGTGGGTACTGACCGGTGATCTCGGCGGTGGGGTCACCACAGGTGGGTACTGACCGGTGATCTCAGCCGGAGGGTCACCACAGGTGGGTACTGACCGGTGATCTCGGCGGGGGGTCACCACAGGTGGGAACTGACCGGTGACCTCAGCGGGAGGGTCACCACAGGTGGGTACTGGCCGGTGATCTCAGCGGGAGGGTCACCACAGGTGGGTACTGACCGGTGATCTCGGCGGGAGGGTCACCACAGGTGGGTACTGGCCGGTGATCTCGGCAGTGGGGTCACCACAGGTGGGTACTGACCGGTGACCTCAGCGGGAGGGTCACCACAGGTGGGTACTGACCGGTGATCTCGGCGGTGGGGTCGGCCGGCGGCAGCTTGACCTCGCCCTTCTCCAGCGCCATCGAGTGCCGCACCGCCGCCACCGGGATGCTGGCTGACGGCGCCGCCGGCCGGGTGGCGGCGGGCGCCGGCGGCCGGCTCGGGATCGGCCCCGCGGTCGCCGGCTCCGCCTGCGGCTTCGGAGCCTCCTTTGCCGGCACATCCTTAGGGATCTCCTCTGCGGGGGCGGCGGACGGTTCGGGTTTCGCAGCAGGCTCCTCGGACTTCTTGGGCGCAGATGGCGCGGCACCACCGCCTGCTGCTGAAACACAATAACACAGTGGCAGCGCAATGGGCGGAATAACTGCGGTCGGGAACCGCAGGCAGGCACGTACTTTTAACACAAGAGATGTCCCAGGTCCTGATTTGGGATTTCATGGGACAGAAAGCTTATCAAATTGCGATGGATGTGGCTTGAAGAGCATAAATGGTATGAGCCCGACAAACAAGAAGTAGGACTAAATTTGCCTGCCGCAGGCAGACAAGCATCATGACCAAGGGTTTATTCTTACCATACCGTGAGGTGCTTTGGAATGTTTATGTCTAATGCCCTGAAACTGTTACTGCCACCCATGGCAACACACAAAGAGAATAGACTAGATTTTTACCACCGCATCATTTGAGAAAAACACTGTACTTCGGAACACGATATGTCTAGAGCTGACGAGCACCGCAGGCATTGTAAAAATGCATTCATGGATGTGTTCCTGCAGTACAATACAAAACTTAACAACTACACTTTGGGCTTACATATGCACATCCAATCCAGTAAAACGAATCTGGCCACCAATTTACGTAAGTTCCTCAGTGCATTGGCGAGGGACCTTGTTCACAAAGATAAGACGGTAGCATTAGCCTTATTCCTCGGAGAAAAAAAAAACGGGAGAATGGAGATACAGTTGGGTTGATATTTCGGCAACATGCCTTTATCGAGTTCTGCTTTCTGTTTTTTCCGAGGAATGAGGCTAATGCTACTGTCTTATCTATGGCCACCAATTTCACTGCACTAACATGGGCATGGACACGATGAGGTCAAGACACTTGATAATACTCATGGAGCTTACACAGTACGCCAGAACTGACATGAACGACGTGACTGAACAGACGCACGTTACTAGCGCACCGCCACTGCGGGCAGCTGACGGCCGCTGATGATAAGCTCTAACCTGAAAAAACAAAAAGGCTATGCACTGCTAAAGTTCAGAAGACAAAGTAAAAAAAAACAAAGCAGTTAAGATACACGCTGAATCCACTGTGCTGGATGATCTTGGCCACTTAAATCTTGTAAGTGGACTCGATCTTCTCTCACTTTAACAATGCTTTCGGGCCTGTCCCAGAGCTGGTGTTTTGTTAACCTTGTAAAGGCCCTATCACAAAAAAGCGAAGCGCGCGATCTGTACATGTCATGATTCAAGTGGAACGCGTTACGTAAGCATCGCACGTGATTTGAGTCATAATTTGGGGGTACGACCACGTTCAAGCGTTTACGCAATTGCAGGTATTATTTTAGAATACGACCACGTTCAAATAACGCTAACCTTGCAACCAGCCGTGCTTAACGTTAAACCTGTATCAACTGACATGTTGGAGGGCATTTACTTCGAATGTTGCTCGCTGTGAACGTGACCCCAATGACCGTGCTCCACCATTCCAGCTGTTAGAAAGACGGTACCATGAACACCATCTGACTACAGCTTGACACCTGTCCTGTGGCCCTGCATTCTGCAACTTGGCAAAAACAGTTCGGCAAACTCTTCATTACACAGAGCCATTTATGCAGCTCAGTGCCACCACTTTCAAAGACGCCGTTTTAACGTCACACAGTTGTGTTTGAGGAAAAGTCACCTGGGCACTGGTGGCACGAAAGACAAAACTTATCACGTCCGACCACAAACGAAGCAGAACATCGCATCTGGGGACTTTACTTGCGTGCTTTTTTGCGTAACGTAACGTAAGGACATCTCAAGTCCGTCGGTCACCATTGAGAAAGAAAAATCTCTTAAACACACTCCCCTGAAAAGTTATCGCGCGCGAGTTACGCTCCTGTCTTTTGAACGGCAGCGCTGTGTGCTTCGCCACGTGCAGCAGGCCCGGGGCCGGACTCACCGCCCACTTCGATGCTGAACAGGTCTGTGCCGGGCTTCACGGTGGAGCCGTCTGCCACCAGCAGCTCGTGGATGACGCCAGCGACGGGCGCCGGCACCGGCACCGACGTCTTGTCAGTCTCGATTTCGGCGACCACCTGCCGGTCGGAGTTGGCCCGTCACACAAAACCGCCACTGTCACTGTCAGTGAAGTGGGCTGGACGCACGGCCGCCGGCGACACCAGCCAGGAGAAACACCCGCAACCGGCGCGCTGAGCAGCTGCGGTGAAAAAGCTCGGAAACCTCTCAGGTATCAATTTTACCGCCGGAGTGCAAACGGGGGATAACAGGAGGCTGCTCAGCTGATCTAATGCGCTGCGATACTGGTGTAAATAGGCAGTAGTTAATTGCTATGACCCTTAACTGATGCCAACGGAGGAGGTTCTAAGCATATCGCAACATGTCAAAATCAGCAGGGCGAGATTTTGACTGGCGCTGTCTGTTAAACATGCAACGATATGATCCCGACAAAGCAATACACCTTCCATAAAAACAAAAATGCATGCATCGCTTTGCATCCACAAAACTATGCAAAACGAAACTATTTTACAAAAGAAAACAGTGACAAGAAACTGCATTGCCTTTGCATGGACTATATGGATAATGTATCGGGGAGGGCAGTGCAAGTGACCTCTGACCTCGTCTTCCTTGACGGAGTCGCCGGCCGCCTTCTCGAAGCGCACATCACCCTCAGAGACAGACTCGGCGAACGCAGGCACCTGTACCACCTTCACCTCACCACCTGCGGACAAGGCGACACCGACCTGTGTATAGATATGATACAGGCCGCCGTTCAGATGTGATGCAGGTCGCCGTTCATATGTGATACAGGCCGCCATTCAGATGTGATACAAACCGTCGTTCAGATGTCATACAGGCCGCCGTTCAGATGTCATGCAGGCTATCGTTCATATGTGATATAGCCCACCATTCAGATGTGATGCAGGCTACTGTTCATATGTGATACAGGCCACCGTTCAAATATAACACAGACCGCCGTTCAGAGCACCTGTCTGTGCTAAAGTTCATATGTACCGGTCACTTCCTCTGAACACACGCCAGCTGTAGCGAACAGCGTGTCGGTACGACAGTGCTCGCAACACTTGTGATGCCTCCACGTGTCACAGGGTGGCACTTTCGATGTTAGTTTCTTTTTCTTTTTGCATTTTCTGCGTTGCAGCATCTGTGGCATCACTGCAGTATTCTGTCTAACTTCCTTCGGTATTTTCGGTTACTTTGTTTTTTTTAAACTATTGATTTCTAAGCTATTTATTTCATCTCAGTGATATTTTGGCATCAGCTTACCTTCCCTTTGTTATTCGGAACGAAACATGGCGTCCAATAAACGAATCTCCCAGCCCGCGCACGTGTCCACCGGCGGCTGAGCAGCCTACACTGCTCGTGATCCAGAGTATCCTCCCCATTGTGCCGAGGGGGAGGTGGGTACCGATCCCGTCAGCGTCACATGCCTGGCCTGGCTCCGCCCTTCCGTTACACCGTCGCCCACACTGCGTGTCTCCCCATGGCCCACATTGACAGATGTGATAATACCACACTGTGGGATATTCACATTTGTTTCGTGGCCGCAAATAATAAACTCTTTCAACTTTGGAATGTACCAACTGTTTGTGCCAATGGGGGGGGGGGGAGAGGGCAACAGTCTGCACTGAAGTCAAAGACCCTCTCTGCCATGCTGCAGCATGGATGGCAACCAAATCAGTATGGCTCAAATGGAACCAACTTTGGTTCAAGTGGAATAATGACTAATTTGTATCAAAGTTGAGCTTAATGCCCACCAAGATGGACAAAAATAAACTGCAGCACTATGAGAGATCAAAACATTTCCATTCTCCTAACAGCCGTGAAGTACAAAAATCTTTATACTGTTTCCACCTAACAATGTCAGTTTTTCCAAATGTCAAACGCAATCACGTTCCAAATCCATTCATTCTCACAATTAGTACAGGGCACACAATATCCTGATCTTACCACATGACACCTGGCTTACATTTGGTGGCATCCTGCAGCATATTTTATCTCATGCTACATCTGGTCACTACACCCAGTTTGTTTGAGCATGTCTGCATGGTCACTGGCAGTTACACCCTAGCAAAAGTCAAGGTCATGGCAGCCAACAAAACACAGCCACAGCACCCACCAAGTATGGCTGATGTGCGGATGGTACGGCTGCCTGGACTAGCTTGCCACCTCCTGGTGACCTCTGCGGGTCGGAGGGAAGCCAGCTCGGTCCTGGCCACCCATAATGCAGGGCCCAGACCATATGTCCGGCATGGAGTGGAACACTGCAACATGACCAGAACATTCAACAATTCCTGCCACAAAACACTCCACACTGCTTACCCCTATTAAGAGATGCACAGAGGAGGGAAAAAGGAGCATATTCTATATGGTATGCACAAATGACTGAATAAGATCATTTGCTGAGCAAACTTTGCAGCATCTACTCTGCACCCACTACCCAAACTATGCCACTCCAGCTTATTAGAAAGGTTTGTCCTCACAAAATTTGCTGGCATAGCTGCAAAGGGCTTTGTGTACAAGGGAATGCCAAAACATTGATGAGCAGACAATTATTTAGGCCAATTGCTACTGTCTGCTCCAGTTGAATGAGATTAAGCAGTATGCCTGATTAGGGACTTGTGCTAAATGTTACAGTCATAAATCCCAGCACCAGCTTCCACCAGGCCAACAATGTGAACAACAGACTGCTTAAGTAAGCATATGGCAACTTGGTCCATGAAATGGCGGCAAAGCATATGCAAAAATAGAGATTTTAAGCATTTGAGACACAACTTTTGGTAAGCAATAGTTTGCCACATATCTTGGCATGTAGCTAAAAGCAGTTACATGTAAAACCAAATCTTTCCCAACACACATCTGTAATGAGTATGACCACTAAGCTGGTTTCAAAAACATCCAACATGTGGATACATAATAGAGGTCCTTTTCTCATAGTAATGCACTGATTTCCATCTTAAAACCTGATGCAGGCATTGTTAATCATCCTGGTATTGGCCCATTCACAATCTGGCCCAGTGTAAAAATGGATCCCACACTGAACTTAATGCAGCAGGCAGTAGGCACCGGAATGAGGGCCTTTGGGCTCAACTTTAGCTCTCAGTGGTTCACTTTGGCTGGGTTCAGCTTCAAGTCACGGCCAATTTGAGCCATTGCAAGTTGTCCAATTTCAATAATAGGATATGAAAGCTAGAATCAACTACCTGACAAAATGACAACAACTTACTTTAACTTATTATACTGTGCCAAAACACTATTATTTTATCAGCATTTGCGGCTACGGAAAAGCAGCATTCGCGCCATTAATGCCCCCAAGCATACAAAAGTACAGTACGCCCACTTCCGCACGTACTTTAGGAGCTCATGGCAGCTTGCCATGAAATTGAAATTACCTGCTTTGATTTCACCGCACAAAAGTGTAAAATTTTCCTTGATGCCCGGACGTACGACATTTTCCAGACCCCACCCGACACCCACGACCCCACCGCCTCTAAGCCGGACGAGCGCAAGGCCATATGCATGTGTGAAGCTCAGGAAACAATTTGCCTCCACTCCGCGGCGAGCTACGTGACGTCACTGAGAATTACTTGGTCACTTGGCTGCTGAGCCCCTGGAAGGGCGTCCGAGATCGTAAGCTTTTTAAGATGCATTAAAACGATAGCAAATCGTTACGAAAAAATGTATGGCATATTTCATGTCAAACTATATGTAGCTATTCAAAGAGCATTCTACGTTGTTTAATGTGTGTAATGAAGAGCAAACTAGCATGAGAAATCACTCCTTTACTCATCTTCAGAAATTGTCTTGATCTTAACAGCATTAATAGATTTGCTATGAGCTAATGAGTGTCATGCCTATACTAACCACATTTTTCCAACCCTTGCCGTTGCGTAGATTTTGTCGGCATTCGTCGGTTGCAGTGGACTAATTTGCTAGTCGAAGATTCTGCTGCAAAAAAATGCGACACGAAACTGTCGAAGGCTATCAATTCGAAGCGTCTCACCTGGGAGACCAGCTTTCACAGGCGTGTTAACTGTGGTTCTGCTGTGATCGATTCCCCGGTGACCAAATTTTTCCGACAGTGGAAAGATCATCGCGTATGTCTGTCGATCTGTCCTCGAACACCCCACCTTTCTCATGAATACCGTCCAGTAGTTTTATAGACCATGTAGGTAAAGTAGGTAGCGCAGCAAACACATAATTTGTCCAGAATTTTCATTCTTGGAAGTTGTATATATATATATATATATATATATATATATATATATATATATATAGTCCCCCAAAATGGGAAAGTCTTGCTCCATACCGTGACCAGCTCGGACGTCTCGTACTGGTTTGAACAGGCGGGCGTGCTAACCTCGCTGCTCCTCGCCTATGTGCCAACAGTGTCGCCAGCGCTGGTGCTAGCGGCTGGAAGCGCGCGGGCGGGCCGGGGGCGCCGGAGTGCAGACGGTCCGACGGTATATGTTTGTCTGGCTGACGGCTACTGCCGTTAGGCAGTCCAGAGGAGCCGCTCGAGTGTCTTCCGTGTGTCCATTTGGTGGAGCCCGCTGAACGTCTAGTCCAGGTCCCACGAAATTCAACGTCGCACTGTCTTGCCGCCATCCCAAATCACCGTTCAGTGGAGCGGTCTGTCTCTCCAACGCCTCCTTTTGACCGTTTGTTAGAGTTGCCTGACTGCTAAAGCACATTCACTGGCTCATCACGTGGAAACACGCCTGATCCGTTTGGGCGAGCGCCCCACTGTCTTTCGAGGCCGCGAGGCAGACTGTGTGCCCTGTCCGGGGCACACAGTCCGCACGCGCGCTGGCAAGCCTCGAAAACAAAAACCCGACGCCCGGCGTTGCAATCAACGCGGGCTGCGCAGCATCGACCCCGCAGCTGAGACTAGGCGTTAGCTAAGGGCGGAAAAAACTGATGACGCATATGAAAGAACCTTTGAATGCTTTACGACATCAACTCGTACGTTTAGAACGTATTATACCAATACATATATAGGAAATCCGCAAATTGGTGGTGGCATCTGGCGATAGAACTGGAAATGAACGGGTAGAATCGCTGGCGCTTACTGTTGTACTTTGTACTTGTACTTCTGGTGCTTACTGTTGTACCTTTGAAATGCTTCCGAGCGATTTATTTAAAACGATCGCTCCAGCGCCTAGTGCCTGACGCGTGATGTTATCTGCAGCGGCCAACGTCGCTCGGTTTGACGGAAACTTCAACTTCTGTCATCGGTGTTCTTGCTCCTAAGATTGCTTACGCGCAGGCGCACACTTTTCATGCGATTTGTCGCACTAGTGGATTCGGCAAATGTATGGACGTTCTCAGGCTGACATGTCTCGTAATTTCCATTTGAGGCCTTATTTTAATCTACTTTATCGAACACCAATGAGATACATTACGTTTCCACGGAAAAGGGGTCTCTTGGGTAGAACGCTAGGGGCACATTACTATTTTCGGGAAAAGGATGACTGACCATCCCGTCCCAACGCGTGACACCTACCTGCTCTCATTCTCGGCACGCGATGGCGCCCCCCCCCCCCCCCCCCTCCCCCAGGTCGATCCGCAGGTCCTTAATGCATGCATCTTACATTGGTCCCCTTCCTGACGTTGGAGGCCCTCCATCGATGCAAAAAGATTCTTTATCGCTGCAAGGGCCCAATTGTAGACGTGGCCGAGTGACCCGGGCTATGCTCTGCAAGGTCTTGAATCACGACCGCTCGGCAGCAGGTCTGGACCGTGACTCTCTACTACCGTGCATGACGAGAGGTAAACGTAAACACCAATACTGGGGCAGAAACCAGATGAAAACAGTTCCAGTGATGACAGGGATCCGTGTTACATTACAAATTAGTCAAAGGAACCTTACCTATTACGTGGCAAGACATTTACGTCGAGGAAACAGTTTGCGTTCAAATAAGTGTTACAACAAGGGAACAGGTAACGTTTAAATTGAGTGTTACAACAAGGAAACAACTTACGATTAGATTTAGTGTTACAAAGAAAGCGTTAAGTTTGAGTCAAGTGCTACCACAAGGAAGCAGTTTACGTTCAAATTAAGTGTAACGGCGACGGACCATCGCTATAACATGACACCAGACTACAACCGACGCCGCCGACAACCGACACACACATAAAGGCAACAACAATCGCTTTCCCGCAGTACCTCGCGACGCTTCACCAGCCACCGTCGCGGCGGTCCAACAGCCACACAGCAAGGCCGTGAACAGCACGGACGTGGTCAGCACGGACTTGGTCAGCACGGACGTGGCCAGCACGGACGTGGACAGCACGGACGTGGTCAGCACGGCCGCGAATAGCACGGACGTGGACAGTGAGGCCGCGAACAGCACGGACGTGGACAGTGAGGCCGCGAACAGCACGGACGTGGACAGTGAGGCCGCGAACAGCACGGACGTGGACAGTGAGGCCGCGAACAGCACGGCCGCGGACGGCACGGTCGCGGACAGCACGGTCGCGGACAGCACGTCCGCGGACGGCACGGTCGCGGACAGCACGGCCGCGGACGGCACGGTCGCGGACAGCACGGCCGCGGACGGCACGGTCGCGGACAGCACGACTGCGGACGGCACGGTCGCGGACAGCACGTCCGCGGACGGCACGGTCGCGGACAGCACGGCCGCGGACGGCACGGTCGCGGACAGCACGGCACCATCGGAGAAGGACCAGCCGCGGGACGAACACCATAAGCATAACTGCCGCATCACAGCCGCGTAACAGACCGCACCACCAATCCACGTAACAGTCGTAAGCCGAACAAAAGTGAACTGTGTCGAGGCAGGGCCAAAACTGGAACGATGCTGAAGGAACCTTCCAGCGTACCGACGAAACCACCAGGCGCCTTGCAGATAGGTACTGATAACACTCGGCATACCCGAAACTTAACGTACAAAACACGTCTGGCTTGTGGAAAGGCTAATGACCAGGAACATGGAAGGATGCGCAGCACGCACGGGCTTACGAATCTCATGTGAACGTTTGTGTGCAGTAGCCGGTAAGCAGGACAAACCTGTACGTTCCGCGACACCGACCGGCCTGCTACAGCATTACTAGACACGGTAACATGCATCCTGACACACATTCCAGTCAATGCACATCCAGGCAGCGCATCAAAACAGCCGTAAACCTCCCATCCTTCACTTCAACCGAACAAACACGCTGCACAAGGCCAACAACAACACCAGCAAGGCCAACTCGTAGCGCCGACCGCGTCGCTGCATTCCCCCTCATCTTCATTTGCATCACTTTTTCATCCCTCGATGTCCTTGAGGACTTGGGTTCTGTTTACTGTGCCCTAACTAGCTTGTGATGGCCATCGGCAGGCGGAGGGGTCTGTCGATGTCGAGTTTGATGATTCTGGCTAAGAGTGGATCGCCGGGCGATAGCAGCCAGTGGAACTGGTTTACCACGGGTTGTGTTTGTTTCTCGCCTCCCTAATTTCCTGGCTGTGTGTGCCAGTGGGGCTTCACTGAGTTTGCTGACATCTCGGAACGCACGACGCGCCGTGCTGCCGTCGTTTGATGTGTTGTTTCCCTCTGATCTCGGCTGACAAACCACCAAGCTCATCATCTCTCTAACATGCCGTTGTTTCCTTTCCTTCCGTTCATTTGCGGCCGCTTTGTGTTTTAAAGACCGCGCTCAGGTCATCGCTTGCGAAGCACACGACACGCGAATGACGTACTGGAAAGAGAAACCCAGGCTGTATCGACGAGAGACAGAAGTGGTCAGTCTGCTTGCGCGCGATGCGGACTGATGACGCGTTCAGGTTATTCGTCCTCTCCGTGTTGCTCTGCACACAATGCGAGACACCCCGTCCCTGGTGTCTGAGAGAGCAGTGATGGCTTCGCACGGCCGAGCGGCCGGCCAGCTACCGCCCCGCCCTGTGCCCGGCCGATCGGTCGGTGGGGCGTGTGCTTACTACAACCGTCATTTTTCCGACAACTCGCACCACCATGACGATTATTGGAAGTTGTTCTCTACACACTGGCAAAAACCCTGAATAAGTTCAGATCGGGGACTGGCGAAGCCTATTTCTTGTTGGTCCTAATGACTCATAAGTTCTGTTAATATTTCAAGGACATATCATATGATATGTACAGATGGTATGTACAGATATGTACACATGATATGTACAGATATGTACAGATATGGTATGTACAGATATGTACACATAAATCATATGGTATGTACAGATATGTACACATATCGTGCATTGCTATGACTTTTTAGACCATTTGGATCGAAGTCAATGTCAGCAATCGATAAAGCGTCCCTGGCGATCCTTTTCGTACCAACACGTTCTGGCGTTGGGACGTGTATTATTCACAAACACATGATAAACATCCTGCCAATTTATTGTGAGGCGGCAAGCGACAACAAAAGCTTCTAGCTTCGGGCACAGGACGCCGAGAACAAGATGCTCAGGTAACTTTTGGCGGTAACTTTAACGGCGTGTCAGTTGGACTACAGAAC